AATAAAGAAGACTCAGGACTGCCAAGTTGGGAGAAGGAGCTTCAATTTTACAAAGGTGGTAAGTGAAGTATTCATTGAGAAGGCAAGATAGAAGCAAAGAGATTGAAGAAAGTGAGGGAGTTAACTCTTTTGATATTTGAATTAAGACCATTCCAGGCAGAATAGCCAGTATAAAGAACCTAAAGAGGAAGTGTGCTTGGTGAATTTGAGGAATGACAGAGCCTAGTATCCATTAGCTATTTTTCCTGATCTTTTCCCTCCTCCCACTCTCCACCCTCTGATAGACCCCAGTGTGTGTTGTTCCCCTTTATGTGTCCATATGTTCTCAACATATAGTTCCCACTTATAAGTGAGAACATGCGGTATTTGGTTTTCTGTTCCTGTGTTAGTTTGTTAAGGATAATGACCTCCAGCTCTATCCATGTCCCTGCAAAGGACATAATCTTGTTGTTTTTTATGGCTGCATAGTATTCCATGGTATATATGTACCACATTTTCTTTATGCAGACTACCATTGGTGGGCATTTAGGTTGATTCCATGTCTTTGCTATTGTGAATAGTGCTGCAATGAACATAATGTGTGCATGTGTCTTTATGATAGAAGGATTTATATTCTTTTGGGTATATACCCAGTAATGGGATTGCTGGGTCAAATGATATTTCTGTCTTTAGGTCTTTGAGGAATTGCCACACTGTCTTCCACAATGGCTGAACTGATTTACACTCACACTGACACTGTATAAGCATTCCTTTTTCTCTGCAACCTCACTAGCATCTGCTTTTTTAAATTTTTTTAACTTTTTAATAATAGCCAAGAAATCAGGTTCTCATTCTTGCTCTGCTACTAACCAGCTGCGCAATGCAATCTTGGAAAGTCCGTTACCCTCTTTGGTTCTTCATTTCTTCAATTGTAAAATAGGTATAACCCTTACTACATAGGATTATTATAAATTAATGTATGTGAACATATTTGAGGATATAATTACCAGAAGAAGGAAACTATAAAATATTGGAATGCATTACCAAGGGACACTATGAAATGTTATTTTGAAATTGTTAAAAACAGAAGGACCTTTCCTTTGGTGGACAGGCATTAAGCACATTTACAGGCAGAAGGAAGCAATCTGTGATCATCTTTTCATGTGGTAAAATAAACTAACCTGGTCTTTCTTGGCAAGCTGGCATTTGCCACAGAAACATAGAAGAGGCCACAACTGGTGCTTAGTCTTGCTCTTGTCAAATTTCTGAGATGTATTCCTGAAGCTAGGGACTAAATCCAGACTAGGATGGTATGAAGTAAAAATACACAAATATAGTTGCATAATGCTCCCCTTCTTACCCAAATGATTCACATAGGAATACTTAAAACTTTGTCTTGGTTTGGGTGAAGTCATGCTAAACATAGGATAGTGGGCCTTCATTATCTTGTCTCAATGACCTTGCCAATTACTTTCCAAGTGGGTGTTTCCAAGGAGTTAATGCTTTGAAAGAATCATTGCCACAATACCAGGTGGAGGGCACCCTCCGTGCAACTGACAGTGTGTTGGAGGCATAGCCAATGTAGCCTACAATGTAGTTAGCTTTTGCCAGGCCAGGAGTGGTGCATGTGACCTACAGCCCCACCAGAGCTCAAAGCCACAATAAGGAATTGGTTCAGAGAAAGTTAGACCAGGAGGATTTGCTAATCCTCAAGGCTTTCCTACAATCTTTGATTGTTCTTAGGTCTCCTGAAAGGGGCATTTGTGAACTATAGCTTCAAAACAGTCCTGTTCCCTTGCGTTTTTGTCTAAGCTCAAAGCTATCATCTAATATTGATTCTATGAGATGAACTGTATTTCTGGCATGTCCTTCCAGTTTTTGTACCGCCTGCAGCCATCTCTTCTCCTGCCTTCCGTAGATAACTATTCACTAGTCATGATATACCACATACTATTTCCTAGATCCTGGAATTTCTCCAGTGCAATTGTATCAGCTAGCATTTATTAGGTGCTAATTATTTACCAGGCACCATTTTAAATTCACTGTGTTAACTAACTAATGTAATTCTCACAACTGTCATTATCTTCACCTTATAGACGAGGAAACCGACACAAAGAGTAGTTTAGCAACCTTCTAGTTAGTAAGTGGTGAAGTTGAAATTCAAATATAGGGTGTTTTTTTTGGACACCAGATACTATTCTAATAATCACTAGTATTATTTTATATCTCTCCCCAAAAACATATACAAACAACCACAACTTTCTTTTTTCCATCTCAGAAAACTGAAGAAAGACTTGGAAATAGAACCCTTTTTCCTGTTACTCCCAAGTTCTGTTATTTTAGACCCTGTCATCTGCACTCTAATATTTGAAGACCAAAAAAATCTTTCTAGAAGTATTGAATCTCTTTCCAGACTCTCTAGGGGCCTGGGAGCCTCTCATAGCAGCCAAGCCTCAGGGACAAGCCTGTGTAGGGTCCTACCACGTTAAAATTGAGTGGCTGTCCTCATCTTTGAACAGTGTTTTGAGCAAACTGTATCTGTCTAGGAAAATAACCAAGATGTATTTTCAAAAGTGGTTGTTTTTCTCTACTAAGTTGTTTTTCTGAAGGGTAAGCCATTCTGCAATTATTCTCTGCAGCAATGAACAAATTTGGAGGAGGAAAGAAATTCAGTAGAATTTGGTTTAGATTGACCATAAGGACATTTCCTACTCCCCCTTTTTTTAGTTTCAGTTTTGAATTTTTCATATATTTTCAAGAAGGGGCCATGTTTAGCTCCTCAGCTGCACAAATTTTTCCTTTCTTTCTTGATAAATTATAGATGCTTCATGGGGAATTTAAATGTCAGATCCTATAACAGGCAAATGCTGTATTGCACGCAGTTATTTTTTAAAGGCAAAGTTTGTAGCTTTTTCAAAAAGAGTTTAAAGTGTAAATACTGTTTTCTGTTCATTGTACTCCCCTAGAGATGCTTCTATTATGTCAAAATTATGAAAATTCTCCCTTTGGGGATAAAGTACTTTTGATATTTTCTCAAGGGGTGAAGAGAGCAATGAGAAGTTATGTATGTCTGCAGTTTTTTTTGTTTGTTTGTTTAGTTTTTTTTTTTAACAAGCTATATTGAATGCGTGTATCCAAATGGTACTGCAGCACTAGAGAAGGGAGCACTATGGCAAAAATTTTCCTGTTTGTAAATGGGAATCTGGCACCCATCTTCATCAAAGGTGCATTCTAATCTTTCCCACATAACTGCTCCTGTTCCCCTTGGATATGAACGAATTAACCTTGCCTAATACAGAGAAGCTTATCAAGTATAAACATAGACCCAGAGGATTTGGATTTCTTTGCTCCTTTTCCATCCTACTGTTAGACACTTACTGCCAGTTTTCCAGCTAGGAGCATTGCAAAATTGCCGGGTAGGACTTTCAGCTAAGAGAAAAATGGTGACTTTTGATTAGTTGTGCAGACGAAAATGTTGTAAGAGAGAGAGATTAATAAAAATTGATCTTATCAGATGGATAGCATGGTCTCTGCTTCAGCTGTCTTTATGAGCTACTTGTAATATGTAGGTTATCTCATCTTGGATCAATTAAAAACTGTCTAGCCATCAGGGTCTCTTGCCTTAGCACTGCCATGAAGTAGAGACCCACACAGGCCAAAGGAACTCTCCCCTGCACATTCATACTTCATTCCATTTTCATTAACTTTGATGACTGGCTTGCTGAATCCTGGTTAAGACTCATCACTCTCTTGCTGACCTCATTAGTTTTATGGGAAGGAGACCTAAAATTTAAAAATAAAACCATTTTTGAGGTATAGCATGCAAACAGCACAAATTTTAAGGGTGCATATCAATGCTTTTGTTTTTTGACATATGTGATTATATCAAGATATAGAACATTCCCAGCCCCTCAGGAGGCGTACTCATATCCCTTTCCTGTCAATAACCTACTACTCAGACGTAACCACTTTGTTCACTTCTTTTCCATAGATTAGTGTGCCTGTTCTTGGATTAAATGTAAATGGAGTGATATGATAGCTAATTTTATGCATCTGGTTTATTTCAACATTCTTGTACCTGTATCTTGGTGGATACTTGTACTCTCTGGTTATATATTTAGAAGTGGCATTCCAGGGTCATGTGGTAGAGGTATGATTGGTTTTAGTAGATACTGCCAAATAGTTTTCCAAGGTAGTTGTACCAGTTAACGATTTCACCAACAATCTATGAGAGTTCCAGCTGCTCCATGTTTTCAGTGCATGATATTGTCAGTCTTTTCCACTTTAGCTCTTCTGGTGGGTTTTGTATATCTGACTGTGGTTTTAATTTGCACTTCCCTGATGAGTAATAGTGATGAACACCTATTTATATGCTTGTGAGCCATTTGGATATTCTCTTCTATGAAGTGCCAGTTCAATTCTTTTATACTTTAAAAAAATTAGATTGTTTATATTTTTCTTATTGATTTGTAGGAGTTTAAAAAATGTATGAATGTAGTGGATATAAGTCCTTTGTTCGATATATATTGTGAATATTTCATCCCAGTCTGTGGTTGGCTTTTCATCCTCTTAAAGTATAATTAATTAATCTTTTCTCTCATAGTTAATGTTTTTGTTCTATAGGAAATATTTGCCTACCTAAGATTATAGAGATTTTCTCCTGTGGTTTGATCTGGAAGTTTTATTGTTTTAACTTGCATATTTAGGCCTATGATTCATCTCAAATCATTATTAGTATTATTTTGGTATCTGGTATGAGGTAAGAGTCATGATTCCATTGACTTATTTGTCTGTCCTTGAGCCAGTACCATACTGTCTTAATTTCTGTAGCTGTATAACTAGCCTTAATATTTGGTAGCATATGTCCTTCAATTTGTTCTTCCTGAACATTTTTCACTATTACTAGCCCTTATGTACCCTTATGCATTTTATAATCATTTTGTCCAAATTGCCCTTTGGGAGTGGTTTTGATCTTTTTGACTCATTACTTTTCCCTTTGTCCATCTAACTTCAAAATCTAGGTAACCTTTTAAAGGTGGATATCGGTGGCCTGTTTGGGGCAGTTTCCCTCTAGAGGGAGATTCTGAAGTACCAGGAGACTGCAGGAGATTTTCCTGTGCCTTTCCTGCCCAGGCAACAGCCCAGAACTCAGCTGACTTTAGGTAAGAAAAACTATCCCAGCATTTTGGACTTTGTAAATTTCCAGTCCATTATTTTCATGTTTCTCAACTGCCAAACATTATACTGATTTCTCCTTTCCTCAGGACTGTCCTTCTGCCTTACAGCTAAGCTTCAACTTCAACAGTGCCCAGAATTAGCAAATTCCACAGGAAAGGAAAAAAGCACCTGATTATCAGGACACTTAGAAAGGGCCCCTTACTCTGAAATGTTAGTTCATCTTGTCCTTGCTTATCCTTAAAGCTATCGATTTTGCAACTTATCTTTTTTGGGGGGTGGTGTTGTTTTTTAGTTGTTGCAGGAACGTTCACAACCTGTTTGGAAGAGAAGTCTGGAAATTGTTTACTAGGTGGAGCCTTGATACCCTCATCCCTCTCAGCTCTATCACAGGTAAGTACTTTATGAACATTTGGGCCAATTCAGTAGGTCAGTGGAAGGATAGAAAATGGACATATCCCTGAACCTCCCAGTCACAGATAATGGGGATATCTTAGGAGACTGATCTGCTTAAGTCACTTTCAACTTGGAATTTAGGCAGTTTCTAGAGATAGCAAATGGCATTAACATTCTCAGTTCTACTCCTGCTTAGGAGAATGAGAAGTCAGCTCTGGCCTTGACTAAGGCAGATTTGCTCCTGTAGTCACCTAAATTTGTACCCTCTAGCCTAGGACTTTAGAAGTCAGACCTGGGCTGACTTTCAGTTCTGCATCTTTACCTATGTGATCATGGGCAAATTACTGAATCTCTGATCCTCTGTTTTTCCTCCTATAACTTCATAAGATGATTTTATTGTGAGGATTAAATTTACTACAGGTTGGGTATCTCTAATCTAAACAATTGAAATACTAAATGCTTCAAAATCCAAAAGTTTTGAGCACCAACATGATACCTTTGCTTTCTGATGGTTTGGTGTACACAAATTTTGTTTAGTGTACAAGATTATTAAACATATCCTATAAAATTACCTTCAGGCTCTGTGTATAAGGTGTTTATGAAGCATAAATGAATTTCATGTTTAGACTTGGGTCTCATTCCTAAGATATCTCATTATGTATATGCAAATACTCCAAAATCTGAAATCCGAAACACTTCTGGCCCCAACCATTTTGGATAAGGGATACTCAATCTGTAATACAAGAAAAGTGGGATTTACAGTCTTTAATACATAATAGGTCTCCAATTAATGTGACAATTTATTAGAAAAAATTTTATGGGCACGTCATCAAATCTGGCATATACTTTCAGAGGCTGGGGATTGTGCTTGGTTACTTTTTTGAGGGCAGTAAAATTTTCATATAGTGAAATGTACAAATCTTTAGAGTACCATTCAATGAGTTTTGACACATGCATACTCCTGTGTAACTGACAACCTTATCTAAACACAATCATTACCATCACTCTAGAAAGTTCCTTTATGCCTCTTCCCACTCAGTTCCTACTTCCATAAATGCAACCGCTATTCTGAATTTTTTTCTATGTAGATTATTTTGCACTTTCTAAAATTGCGTATAAATGGAATCATACAGCATGTAATCTTTTGTGTCTGGCTTCTTTCATTAAATATATCATTGATTATTCATCCATATTGTTGTCCCTGTCAGTAGTGCCTTTCTTTTTATTGCTGATTAGTATCACATTGTGTGAATATACCATAGTTTGCTTATTCATTCTCTTCTTGATAGATACCTGAGCTATTTCTACTTTTTGGTGATTATGCATACAACTTCTATTGCCATCCTTGTAAATGTCACTTTCTGAACTTTCATTTCTCTTGGGTAAATACCTAGGAGTGGAATTGCTGGGATATAGATAGGTGAATGCTTAGTTTTATAGGAAACTGATAGATGTTTCTACAAAAACATAATACTAGTTTATACTCCTACCAGTACTATAAATGTGTGTAAGAATTCTGGTTCCTCTACATCTTTGTCAATATTTGGTGTTGTCAGTCTTTAATTTTAGCTAATCTACTGAGTGTATTGTGGGATCTTAGTGTGATGTCGATTTGTGTTTCCCCGATTACTAATGATGTTAAGGATGATTTCATGTGCTTATTAGCTCTTTATTTGAATTGTCTCTTCAAATCTTTTGACCACTTTTAAGTTGGTTGTTTGTCTTTTTATTATTGAGTTGTAGGGGTTCTTTATATATATATGTGTGTCTATGTAGGGGTTCTTTATATATATATGTACGGGTAAGGTGATAGACACACATATATATAGACACACATACACACGCATATATCTGACAATGAACTTTTAACCAGAATATATAAAGCATATGTTATATGTAAAATATTATAATATGTAAATGTATAAAATATAATATTTATATAATATACTTTATATATTTATATATTAAGTATATAGTGTTATAAAGCAATATACTTTATATATTCTGGTTGAGAGTTCATTATCAGATATATGTTTTGTGAATATTTTCTCTCAGTCTCTGAGTTGCCTGTTCATTTTATTAACTGTATGTTTTGATGAGTTGGTCCATCTTTATACCCCATGTTTTCCATGTGTATGGTTGAAGCTTGATAATATTTACTGAATGAATGAGCTGAAAGTTGTTCCTCCCTCTCTTCTTACATTATTTCCTTTATTCAAGGACACTTACTGATTACATACTATGCTGGTAAGCACTCTTCTGTTCCTTGGGGATATAGCAGAAAACAAAACAAACAAATTTCTTAGTCTCATGACAATTACATTTTAGTCTATATATATGTACGGGTAAGGTGAGAGACAGAAGAACAAATAATTAAACAAGAAAATATGAGCTAGTTATAGCTAGGTACCATCATGCTAGCTATATGTACATGCTAGGTACCATCATGTACAAAATGAAATTTGTACATCATGGGAAGGGATGATTGGGGCTTTACTCAGGTTGAGGAGTAAGAAATCTGAGGAGGTTATATTAGATATCAGAATGACACGAAATCATTACCCCCTGCTCCCCCAGCAAGGAGAAAAGGAACCCAGGTAGAGGATATAACTAATAAAAAAGTCCCTTAAAGTGAGTTGGGGCTAGGCATAAACTATACCAAATACCCCTTTAGGTTAACTAAGGTGCCCAGAGTTGGTTGCTTTGGAAATTACTGTAACCGTCATAAGCTGAGGCTACACTCTTATTCTTTCTTATTATTGGAATACTTAGCAATTTCTTCAAGTTTCTTCTTGCCCTGTCTTCACCCCCTAGTTGCTAAGTTCTGAGATGGTTTGAGAATAAAAATGGTAGATCAGCTAATACATGGGTCACCAAAGTTAAGGTAAGGTCAGTAATTATTTTTCCCATCAAAAGTGACTGAGTCCCCTGCCCTGCAAATAAATCAAGGGCCACATAAAGTAATAAGTAACTACATTTATCTTATAAGAGAACAAAATATGGAATGTTCTACCTCTCTGTTTTTTTTTTTGTATTTAGGTTGTGTAATGTACAACTCAATAAATATGATAAAAATTTGATGATTCTAATATAATTTATTCCAAACTTTTCCCAGTTTTAGGAGAGAGATACAAGTAAAGATTATGGCAAAGAGTAAGAAAAGATGGAGATAGAGAGGGTGTGAAATACAATGAACCACATAGGTGAATAAATGGAAGCATATTGACAAAGAGGAAGAATAGAAGAGTCCCAGAAGAAGATAGAGAAGCTGAGAAAAAAAACTGGGTGAATGGGAAGTCAGAAGTTAAATAGGTTTTGTGTGAGTGTGTTCCTGCAACCTTCTTGTGCCTTTGGGCTGTGGATACCATATAGTAGTAGGTTATTGCCTCCTTTGAAAAATGTGATGGTGCTCCCTAACAATATTTAACACACATCTTACTTCCGTGTTTTCCTTCTGATGAGCTGATGCATGTTCTATGTCAATGTCAAATTCCTTTCCTTGATTTCTCTCCATATTTCCTTCCATGAGACGTGTTTCTCTTAAACCAGACCTTTTGAATTAATAAAACAAACTGTTCTGCCTCTAGTACCCATTCTTCTATATTTAATATAGAAAGTTGCCTCCAACAAAATCATGCCTTCTGGTCATTATGGTTGTGACCCTTATTAGGGAAAACCCTATGTCTATTTGTAGGATTTTGGACAAAAAAAAATGTAGTGATCTGACAGGATTTATGCTAAGTGGACATAGTATACAACTAAGTGGGTCAAAAAAGGCCTGTGGAGACCAGCAAGCTCTATGTGCAAATTACAGGCCATCTGGTTGATTATTTTCTGTACTCCGATAAATATCCAAGGATTACAGTCAGCTGAAAGTAAAGCCTGTGGCTTGCTGGACCCCACTCTGGTCAGAATTGCTGAAAACTGGGCAATGATGGACTTGGTAGAATCCTAAAGGAGTGATATAGATGACTGCATCTTAAGACTTTCAACTAGGAAAATCTTGACTGGGGCTGGAGAAAGAAAATCAGCTCAATTTACAGAATTAATAGCCAGAAATTTAACATATAGATATACCCAAGGAAAAAAAAAAAACTGGTCAAAGGTATACTGCCACACTTATCAGCCATGTAGACCTGGACTATTGCAGGATAAACAATCTGGTGAAGGGAGATATGAAACCAAACTGGTTAAAGGAGTTTAGAAATGCTTGTAAAACACGTATCAGCTCATCAGATTGGAAAAGAAGAATCATCTATTTGGAATGAGAGGGGAGATAATCTATGCCCCCAAAACTAATGTAGACCCTGAAGCTTCGGGGACTCTTCTTGGCTCTCTTGTCAGTTCAATTTACGGTTGTAGAATGGCTTGTGAAATCTCAGGGCATAAGGGCATATATGTACCAGGTTAGCAGAGAACAAAGAGTTAAAAAACAGTGAATCAAATAAACAAAAAGTATGAGATATGACAAAATGCTAAAAACTTCTTGCATCCTCAATGGATTCATTTTAAGTGTGGTGGGGAGTGGTAAACCAGGCGAACATAGCAGGTAGATTATATAGAGCCAATATCTAGATTTTCAAATGAATAATATTGCTTTAAACAAGTGTATACTTACTCAGAAAGTGGGTTTGCAGAGCCCACCAGATATGCAGATGAAAACAGTACAACCATGGCTTTAGATAAAGTTGGAGAAACTAGTTGCTAGATATGGAAGAGGGTCAGTAATAGGAAACTATCAAGGAACTAGTTTTATAACTGAAATTGTCCAAATTTTGGCAAAATACAGAGAATGTGAGACTTTTATTTATCATATACTCCCTAGGCTGTGGAGCAACTGGAAACTTTAATGAATGGATTTCTAAAAACAGAGAAAGAATTCAGTAGCACCAGATATAAATGGCAACAAAGCAAATGTGCTAATTAAGACAGAGTTAATTGACAGACCCTGAGTGACTATATCCTTCCTCAAAAGAGATGCTCAAGAAAGACAGACAAACTACCCATGCTCACTTTTCTCCCAAGTCTCTTAACAAGTGATGAAGACCATGAGGTATTCAAAGGAAAGAGTAGTAGATCCTCACAAAGCCAGCAACAAAGGAGGGGCTATAGTTAGGCATATCCTTTCAACCTTAACAGCAATTCTTGATAGGAGTAACCTGTGGCCATGGCCTGTAGGATGGATAAAGACTCAAGGATACTAATCTTTATATTTATCTTTTTTATTATTAGGTCTGCTTTGCTGTTTTCTCTTGGCTGTGACAGTCTGCCTGATGGTTATTATAATAGCAGTTCATCGTTAGTACAAACAAGAGTACCATATATTAATTCTGTGCACAGTTTACCAACATCATCAAAAAGTTATATTGTTCCACTGTTCTCATTCTGTATTTGATCACCATCATAATTATATAAACACCCCAATTTCTGGTCTGAACCAACCACAGAACCATTGTTAGCCCCTGTACTATCTGTTGTCACCAAGTGTCTATTTGCTAGAGCTTTTAGTGATATTTTATCTATTGAGAAGAGCACTGAGGCATGGATTCCACATCAGTTTCCGTACTCATGGATGGACTTATTGCTTGTGTAGCCCAGTTAATAAGAATAGCTAATGAGCTTTTACAATTAATTATACAACAACAAGAAATTCCTTATGTAGAGGAAAATCGTACAGCAGAAGAGACAGAAGCAGATGCACCTCCTCCTGAGGAGGCTTCAGCATCAGATCTCCCTAATCTCTCAGACTTAGACTCAATACTCACACCAACAGAGAATGAAGACCTAATGTTTGATGTAGATCAGGTTATGTTAGAAATGGATAGCTTATATGAAGGTGCAGTCCCTGATATAAATGATGACTTAACAAGTGACTAAGATCCAATTTTCCCCCACCGGCATGTGAAAACTGATCATTTCTCTGTTTCAATATATTCTATATTCTTGTTTTCTGTATATTAGCAGTATGTATTTTCTCATAATTCTGCACATTTTCATCACTAGTAACCCATATAACAAGTAAGATTTGATTTACTTCCAGCAAAGGCTGCTCTATTTTCCTCTTTGTTGTTATTTAAAAAATTCTCACTTTTGCCATGTAGGTTTCCCTTTACTTGTACTTACTCTAATGCTAGAATTTCTGATGGCAGGAGCAAACAATAGTAAAAGAAATTCCTTATCTAACTATGGGGTGGAGAACAGATGAACTCTATCACATCTTAGGACTAATTTCTCTGGTCTACAATGAATGGAAATCAAATGGGAACTATCCCCCAGGGTAGCATTTACTGTAAAGTAAATGAATACATTCACATTAACAGGACAGTGTTAAGATAATTTTATTTGAAAGGATATAATTCCTTACTTATCCTATAAGAGATAATGTGTCCAACAAAAAATGCTATAGCAGACTAAGGGAGGTAATTTTAAAAGAGTACTATCTACAGTATAACAAAACTGTATAAAAAAGAGTACTTTATAAAAGAGTACTATCTACAGTATAACAAAACTGCAGAAAGGTTTTTGAATGTTGCCAAGGAGAAAACTGAAAAAGCTGGGACCAAGAGTTCCAATGCAAGACTGTTCTTGCAAATTCTGACCACGTTGCAGCTACTTTACACTATTATTCTCCAAATGAAAATGGTACACTATACCAAATAACCAAAGAGAGAAGTAATAGAAGGGCTAAGCAAAGCCCTACAAGGACTATTCACCAATGGAAACACAAACACTCACCATATTGGCCTAGATATGGTCCACAGTGGAAGTGGATAAAATATATCTTCTTGAATATAGCTTAATTTAAAAAGAATAGTTAATAGGCTTATTACAATGAATCTGCTGCAACCTCAACCTAGAAATATTTACTGTTCACAGATAGAAGCAATAATGAATTTAAATAAAATATGAGTTGGTATTTAGCCACAATAATTTTGCATATGCCAGAAGGGGAGAATGCAATAGTTGAAGGACCCCCACAGCAAAACAGAGAGGGACCAAATAAATATGCAGAAAATTTACTGACCATACCAATTGCATGCCATACTGCACCCTCATTTCTATTTGTAAAAATAGCTACCTTTCAGAAAAGCCCATGGACACTATGGCCCTCCTTCCTAGAGAATGCCCATTGCATCTCATGCTATGGGCAACAACTAGGTAAGGATATAAAGGTATACCACTAAACAACGTATTAAATGCAAACTGCAAAGAAATGACTTGTAGAAGGAAATCCACACTGGTGGATATCAGATTTTACCAATTCATATAAAGGCCTAAAGCATATTATAGTCAAAATAATTAAAATGACATTTAACACAGATGACTTCAGAGCCAACCTTTGAAAATCAGAATTTGCGGAACTATTCAACATATTAATATGAGAACTTTCAAAAATAGACTGCTATGTGAAAGGATTGATAAAAGTAGATGAGGATTCAGGAGACTTAGAGGAGCAAACAAAAACACAAATAGGAAAAATAAAAATTACATCATAGAACAACTGTGGATAATTAAAATCCACATGGGATAGCAGACTTAGGGATTTTACTGCCACAATAACTGGACAAACTGAACCTTACTATCTTTTTTTTTCTCAGTACAGAGGACTCTAGATAAGCAGTTACGTACAAAATGGCAAATAATTGATGCAGTACAAAGGGACTATGCCAAATTACCCTAAATAGAGTAGTGGGAAAGCAAGGTGAAACAGTTTATCACTCCATTCCATTAGGAACAGCTTTACTAGGAAGCTTAATGATAGCAGTTTAACAAGAAAATTTAGACATTTAGTAAATAATAAAAATAGGGGAACTGGGTAAAAGTTAAACGTTAAAGGAATCGTTGCTTTAATTATAGCTTCAAAAACAGCCAGGGAAGGTACACACTCCCCACAGGGAATTTGGACTTTAGGAAACTGGGCTATACTTTTGTGTCAAAATAAAACTCAAAGCATAAATATCTGGACAAGATCTGAAAACATATCCAAGGAGAAGCCACCAGTCTGCTACAAATTTTATTTGGTGAGCAATTTAACTGTAGCAGGACAGACCTGGTGCTCTTAAACATGATAGATCCCAAAGGGTAACTATTCCTCCAAGTGGAATTTTAGAATATGGACTTTATAACAATCCCATAACATATTAATGTGAGCTTGTTAAAACTGTTAGTGTATTATAAGAGAACACAAGCAACCATACTAACGTAAGGAGGCCATGAAACTACATCAAGAGAAATCCGTGAGACTACTCTGCATCGTGAAACAGGACAAAGATTTGAACCAGCCTGTAAGACGAGTAATGTTTAATATAGTCCCTAGGCATCAAAGCAGGGAGATGCTACAACCTCATACTATGCGGAGCTGGCTGACCCCTTGTTTGCCTGGGTTACGTGGAAAGATTGTACTGTAATGGCACCTCAGGAACTAGATAAGACATATTCCAGTGTTTGCTTTGATTTTGTAATTGGATGTGCTTAAGGATTGTTAAGATATAACCCCTGCTCCAAGAAATGGATTGTTGTATTAAGTATGTTTGCTCTATGGAACATAATTAAGAGTTAATAGTGAAAAGAAATGTTTAGGAAATAAGAAAATACTTAGGAACAAGAACTAATGGGGAAGGTGTTTTCAGGAGAGAGAAGCAAATTAATAAATTGTCAACAATTATGCACCTGTTTATGATGGAAAGCCATGACATGGAGTTAGTTTTTAAACAGGTTTATGAACAAAGCCCTATTTTTGTCTTATGCAAATTAACCAACCCTAAGATGTTGCTATAAATAGCTAGCTGATAGACAATTGCCATAAGTCATTTATCTGAAAGCTCAATTAGATGGAGAATTATTAACTAGTTTAGTCCACTGATTGGATACCTCTGAATGAAATCCTGAATCTCCTCCAGGAGAATGGAGAGAGTGGCTGGTTCTTTATGCAAATTAGCCCTTTTCTGTATCTTCTTAAAATCAATGCCAAAGCCAATTATTATGTAGCATGGAAGGAAAAAGAGGCCGGACATGGTGGCCCATGCCTGTAATCCCAGCAATTTGGGAGGCCAAGGCGGACAGGTCACCTGACATCAGGAGTTTGAGACCACCCTGGCCAACATGGTGAAACTCCGTTTCTACTAAAAATACCAATATTAGCTGGGTGTCATGGCGGACACCTGTAATCCCAGCTACCCAGGAGGCTGAGGCAGGAGAATCACTGGAACCTGGTGGACAGAGGCTGCAGTGGGCCGAGATTGTGCCACTGCACTCCAGCCTGAGTGACAGAGCAAAAAAAAAAGAGAAGTCCTTATCATTCTGAGACAAGCTTAAAGGTGTGAAAATCAAGGAAGATAGGCTGGTAGATGGCAGTGGATTCAGTAGTTTAAGTCTTCATCCCTATTTGCTTGGGTTAAAATATGTGGGGAGTTGTGCTTATGTAAATTCTTATATGTGATGATTACTGCTAGTTATTATCTTATGATTGTTTATAATCCTTATTAGCTATTGATCTAAACCATTTTATTGTTTTCTTTTAAGAGACTTTACCTAATAAACTTTCATTCACAAATCAAAAAATGTGTGGTCACTCAATAGGAGGTAGCAGAGCATACTCGGAGAGAATGTATACCAGGAGTCTGAAGTTCTACTTCTGGCTTTGTCACATGATCTTAAACAAGTCTCTGAACATAGCCCTTTCTCGTTTGCAAAATGAGGGTTATTAAGAAATTTTCTCTTTACCTTTAGTGATAATAAGGAACAAATGTAATAATAGTTCTCAAAGCCTTTGGCATGACATATCTGACATTGAGACGGAATATATGAAATCAGGACTTTTCAGGAATATCTGAAAAATGTGCATGCTTATGTTCACTGCAGCACTATTCACAATAGCAAAGACATGGGAATTAACCCAAATGCCCATCAGTGATAGACTGGATAAAGAAAATGTGTTACATATACACCATGGTATACTATGCAGCCATAAAAAGGAATGAGATCATGTCCTTTGCAGGGACATGGATGAAGCTAGAAGCTATTATCCTCAGCAAACTAATGCATGAACAGAAAACCAAAAGCCACATGTTCTCACTTGTAAGTGGGAGCTGAACAATGAGAATACATGGACACAGGGAGGGAAGCAACACACACTGGGGTCTGTCAGGGCAGGGGTGGGGAGAGAGAGCATCACGAATGTATTCCTACCTAATAGATGCTGGACTTAATACCTAGGTGATGGGTTTATCAGTGCAGCAAACTACCATGGCACACATTTACCTATGTAACAAACTTGCACATTCTGCACATGTACCCCAGAATTTAAAAATAAAATTGAAAAGAAAATTCACCCAACTGCAAAAACAGTCTGTATGAGAATATCTGAAAGTCTATTTGACATGTAATGATTATCCAATAGTTTTACACCTGTTTTCTAAGAGATTAGAACTTTCTTATTCTATTTCATGCCAAAGTTAGAGTTTGGATTCAGGTTTTGTTTGATTCTTTGGAGGTGTTTTTTTTTTAAATAACCAAATTGAATTATTTTGAGGAGTTACTTGAGTTCTAATAGGAATAATAATGAGGAAAAAACAATATGAAAAAGCCCTTCAGGAAATAATGAATTATATTCCATTTAAGGCTAAGATTTTGTTCCTGAGGGGATTATGTAACTCTGAACGTTATTAAGCCACCATGATCCAACTTTATGATTTTTTTAACACCAAAGCTGACTATTGTGTTTTTCTACTGACAGGCTTATCTTAATAGACTAGATGTACCTAGTGATTTATCTTGGGAATACTTCTTTTTTCAGAGATCCAACTACCTCCAGCCCATATTTAAAACTGGTTTTCTTCTGCCTGTTTAACCCTCAGAAAGCTCATCAACCAACCAACCAACCAACCACCCACCCACCCACCAACCAACAGAGAAACCCTACTGAAAAAAAATTAACTTCTAGTTCCCGAAGTCATTTCTGAATTATTTGTATTGATAAATAAAACTGTCAGTTCCCAATATCACATCTCTTCAGGGTAATAAAGAATCCTTGAAGGTGATTGCCATTATACTTATGAAGGTTAGAACTGCATTTTAGCAATGTAAGGAAAATCACTGAACTCCTTATACCTGGTCACAATTTCATCTTAAAGACCCTAGAAAAATGCTGACGGCATCTCAAAAGATAATTTTAAGTTACCACAAATATTCACATAAGGTGAACAAGGGGGCCACAGTTATGAAACACAACTTTAGTGTTTCACATTCTTCTAATCAAAGATGTCATTAACAGCCCATGCAAGGTGGTTGTAATCCTAACACTTTGGGAGGCCGAGATGGGCAGATTGCCTGAGCTCAGGAGTTCGAGACCAGCTTGGGCAACATGGTGAAACCTCATCTCTACTAAAATACAAAAAAATCAGCCAGTGTGGTGTGGGCGCCTGTAATCCCAACTACTCAGGAGGCTGAGGCACGAGAATAGCTTGAACCTGGGAGGTGGAGGTTGCAGTAAGCCGAGATCATGCCACTGCACTCCAGCCTGGGCAACAAAGTGAAATACTGTCTAAAAAAAAAAAAGTGTTACTAACAAAATCTGTTGTTGAAAACACATAAAAACACATGCCTTTATATTGTGACAAATTCTGGAAATATTGATTATTTTAATACCTTTATTCTTACTTAAACTTGGGAAACACTGGCCTTTCTTGAAGCTATAACTTCTAAATTTTTAATGTAGGCAAACCCTTAACTTCCAGCTTTGGAAAATCAGCTCCAATTGCAGCTCATTTTATGGAGAAAAAAAATTGTTCTGTGTGGAATATAGCTTTTTAGCTCAAGCTTTAAAAATACATGTTGTCTGTTTGAAACTTAAGATGTGAATGGGCTTATCTTTGGGTCCTTATCCCAGGTGCAGGAGTTCTTGATACTTCTCCCCCACAAACCTCGACTCATTGAGAAAAATTCCATTTGTACTGGGCATTTCTTCATTTTTTCCCCAGTTGGAATCACAACACACTTTAAAAGAAGATTTAGCAAGGTGTCACCAGGGATGGCACTGGAGAGTGGAGAAGTAGTGCACCTGCTCTGTTGTATTACTGATTACAGACATTGAGGAAATCCTACCTATCCTTGACAGAACCTCATGCTCCAACTGTTGTTAAGCATGGAATCAAATGGAAAAGACAACTTTTCTCTTTTAGCTCAGTTATTTCATTGCCATCTAGAGGCAGTTTCTCTTTGAATAATTCTGGTCCTGGGAAATAATTCTTGTCCATTCTCCTACAGTCTTCTTTAGGATCTGAAGTTCGTTTGAAAAAAAAAAAATGTCCTTTAAAAAAATGTTTCCAACTTGTTTAGGGGCTCCTAAATGTTAATATGTTTTTTTCTTGATGAGTTAGCAAACATAAACTATATGCCTTCAAAGAATTTGAGAAATTTTGTCTAACATGGAAAAGCTGAGTTAACTTGCCATAAACATAATGGAAGCATAGGACCGGATGTGGTGGCTTATCCCTGCAATCCAAGCACTTTGGGAGCCCAAGGTAGGTGGATCACCTGAGGTCAGGAGTTTGAGACCAGCTGGCCAACATGGTAAAACCCCATCTTTACTAAAACTACAAAATGGTGGCACATTCCTGCAGTTCCAGGGAGCCTGAGGTGGGAGGATTGCTTGAACCTGGGAGGTGGAGGTTGCAGTGAGCCAAGGTAGCACCACTGCATTCCAGTCTGGGTGACATGGTGAAACTGTCTCAAAAATAAACATAAAAAATAATAATAATGGAAGCATAAAGTTAGGTTTCATTCATTTATTTGCATTGAAATCAAAGGTTGGTTTGCCTAGTTTCATCAACTCCTACATGAGAAGAGTTTACCCTGCAAAAATCAAGTATATTATATAATGTGATAAAATGAAGATCAAAATCATGACTTTTTTCTGCTTGTGGTCCTAAGCACTGTGTGTATATTTCATTTTTTTAAAGGCTAGATTTTCGATATTTATTGAACAGATTTATCAGTCTGATTCCTCAAATCAACGACTTGAGAATGAAGTTCTCACAGACATTTGAATTGTTGGAACCTCAGTAGCTCACAGCATTGAGCTAAATTTATACACTAAAGTTAAAATTACAAAAACACATCCCCAAAAAGGATATTAGTGATATGTTTAAGAAGATGAGATTGTTCAGACTTAAATTAGACATGTGAATTGAATAGAGAGAAATTAGAGACTGTATGCATTTGAGACTCAACGAAACCACATATTTTTAAAAAACTGTAATTCACAGATTTGGAGGGATTACAGGTGGTTTTTTTTTTGGTTTTGTTTTTTTGTTTTTTGTTTTTTCCTCTAGAAATGTAGTCACAATTCAGAAAGGATTTACAGAGTTTGATAAGTATAAATTATGTTTTACGTTCCTGAAGCAATGCCTTTGGAGTATAAACTTTAAAATATATATGATTTCTCAAGCCTTCACTTCTGATCAGTGTGGCTTAGTTTGAAGAGAGACTAATTATGTTAAAATTGATGTATAACCTGCTAAGATAATTTATCTTAGAAAATTTGGAGCAAAATATATAAATATAAATCCCCAAATGATTCTGAAGTCTCTGGCTATGGGACTAAACTTTAGGCCAAATTTGAGTTTCAGTGGCTCTATGAAATTATATTCTTTATCATGAAATTATTGACATTGAAGTTGACAGTCACTCACTATCCTGACTGCATACTACTTGGAGCTAGAGTTTGATGTGCTCTGATTGAAACAATACAGTCTACTAAATGCCATGGTTTTCATTTATTTTATTCACAAACATCAGTGAATAACACTAGGCTTAAAATGATTGATGTTTGCATAAACTCGGTGCTTTTAAAATTACTTTTCAAAAAGTAATTTACTTTTGAACTTACTTGAATTTTGAAATTACTTTGATTACTTACTTTTGAAATTACTTTGATTACTGCCGAGTATCCATAATATTGAACAGTTAAGAGGTGCTACTTTGCCAGTGTTATGGATTAAAAATAATTTAGCTGGCTAGGCATGGTGGCTCACATCTGTAATCCCAGTGCTTTGGGAGGCTGAGGCAGGAGGATCACCTTGAGGCCAGGAGTTTGAGGCCAGGAGTTTGAAAACAGACTAGGCAACATAGTGAGACCTTGTCTCTAAAAATAATAAAAATAGGTTGGGTGCAGTGGCTTATGTCTGTAATCCTAGCACTTTGAGGGGCGAGGTGAGTGAATCACTTGAGGTCAAGCGTTCAAGACCAGCCTGGGCAACATGGTGAAACCCCATCTCTACTAAAAAAAAAATACAAAAATTGGCTGGGTGTGGTGGTGCATGCCTATAGTTCCGACTACTGTGGAGGCTGACTCAGGAGAATTGCTTAAACCCAGGAGGTGGAGGTTGCAGTGAGCTGAGATTGCACCACTGCACTCCAACTTGAGTGAGCAAGACTCCATCTCAAAATAAATAAATAAATAAAAATTTAAAAAAATGTGGCCTTGCAAAATGCGAAACTACACTTAGATAGGTACACTACTGAAAGTAAAATAGACACTCCAAAACTTGTGCATTTTTTTTTTTTTTTTTTTTTTTTGAGGCAGAGTTTCGCTCTTGTTACCCAGGCTGGAGTGCAATGGCGCGATCTCGGCTCACCGCAACGTCCGCCTCCTGGGTTCAGGCAATTCTCCTGCCTCAGCCTCCCGAGTAGCTGGGATTATAGGCACGCGCCACCATGCCCAGCTAATTTTTTGTATCTTTAGTAGAGACGGGGTTTCACCACGTTGACCAGGATGGTCTCGATCTTGACCTCGTGATCCACCCGCCTCGGCCTCCCAAAGTGCTGGGATTACCGGCTTGAGCCACCGCGCCCCCTAGTGATGATGGTTGCATGATGTGAATGGACTTAATGCCAGTGAACTGTAAGCTTACAAGTGGTTAAAATGGGAAATTTTATATTAGGTATATCTTACCACAATAAAAATTCCACTTCAATGTTCACAGCAATAATGTTGGAATGGTCTCCCAAAAGTGCTGGAGTTACAGGCGTGAGCCACCGCTAATAGTTATTGACCCAGCTAATAGTTATTGACCGCTATTGTGTGCTCAGTATTTCGCTATGCATAATTACATTACCTCTTTTATTTTATTTGATCTTTACATTTCTCCATGGAGGTAAGCACAATACCAGGCTTATTGAAATAACTTAAAACAGGTAAATGGCAAAAATAAAATAAGGGTCTCAGGGGTGGGCCTAACCATTTACCACGTTCCCCAATATAGCCCTTTCAATCTCTATGTTGCTCTTTTTCATTTTTTAACCCATTCCATGTTTCTTGGTATTTGTTTTTTGCCTCATTTCTAAGGCATAGTGCTTTTATTTTTGTCTGAGAGAAAGTGAACAGAAAAACACCCAATGAGGTTTGCCTGAGAGCCTGGGTTCATGAGGGAATGGCGCTGCCAGTTCCCCTTCAGCTGGCAAGCACCTCTCAGCAGCTTGGACTCCAAGTAGCATGGAAAAGAGATGGAAATGGACATTAAAGCACTTCCGGTGCCATGCACTAAATGCTAGCTTTTTTTATTTCCCACAGTAGCCCTACGAACTGGAGAAATTGTTGTCATTTCTATTTTATAAATGAGAAAACGAATACCCTGAAAATAAGAGTGAGTTTCTTCAGGTCAAACAGCTAGTGGGTTAAAATTCTATCCTCAGTTCCTCTAGCTCCACAGTCCCTGCTTTTTCCATGGTATCATGCTGCTTCTTTAAAGTTAAGGCTAAATTAGCCTTGTTAGGAGACTCGCCCAAAGTGTTTGATAAGATGACCTAGAACTCCACCTGCTTGACTGTAAAGCTTGCTTTTTACGGTCCCGCTTTTTCCATGGTATCATACTACTTTCTTAAAGGGCTATATTAACCTCGTTAGGAAGCTCTTCCAAATTGCTTGATAAGATGGCATAGAACTACACCTGCTTGACTGTAAATCTTGCTTAACTGGAAAGCAAAACCTCACCTGTGACCTGCTTGAACTGACCTCCTTAAAGAGGTGGAACCTAACATTTTGGAGGTCATACAACAGCAGATCCTGCTCCAGCTTTTTATTGAATTACAAATCCTGAGTATGACTCCATCTTTCAAATGCATTTCTTAGCCTTCTTTCTGAGGGGCTGTCAGGGATTTAGTTGTGCCAAAAATTACAAGCACCCAGAGAGTTACTCTTCTGTAATCACTGCCCACTATGTCCCCAGTATATAGGACAGGATCTCTTTTTATGTGCTCTCACAGAACACTGATCTTTCAGAGTACTTATCTTAGTATGTAATCATATATTCATTAAAGTGATCATTTACTCTATATCCACTACCAGCTTGTAAGTTCCATGAAAGTAGGGTCAGTGTCTGTCTTAAGTATCACAAACTCTCAGAACAGTGCCCAGTAAGCATTTGCTAAATGCATAAGCTTTTCCATCAAAGAATCAGATGGTTATTTATTTGGCCATAAAGAAAATACAAAAAGGTTGTCTCTGACTTGGATAAATGGGCATAACTGTGAAGCCTGCCCAACCAATTGTTTGTTAGAGGGCTAAATGGTAGAAAAATGTTGATTCTTGCTCTGCTGCTCCAGACTTGGGAGGCCTTAATAGTCCCTGAAAGCAGAGATGAGCTCAGCTTACCTCTTTCTGGTGGTATTTGATTGCCACCTTCAGCTTGGCCAGGTCATGGTACTTCTGAGGGTCAAGCTCTTCACTGTGGTCATCTCGATGGTTGAGGATGATCTCCAGTTCCCGGGAGCTCCGAGCTTGGTCCAGCAGGTCCTTGGCAAAGAGCTTGCACTGCTGAGAGAGCTCCTCATATTCAGCCTTGAACTCATTTTCCACCTTGCTGAGCTCCTTGAGCTCCCAGCCCAGGCGGAAGGCAGTTAGGATGGGATCCTCACTTGATAAGGCAATGAGTGAGGGACTTGCCAGAGCCTTATAGATGTTCAGTCGGGAGCGAGAGTGGCGCAGGCTGTCTACCTCTGAGCTAGACACACACTCCACACAGTTGCAGCGGATCTGGTGGGGCCGTGGGATAGTGACCCGTTTTTGCACAAGCAATTTGATGATTTCGTAGTTGTTGGTGTGGGCAGCCAGCATGATGGGAGTGATGTCTGGTGTGAACTCAGAGAACTGGGTGTCCATCATCAGAGTGGGGACCTAGGTACAAGAAATGAGAAGCATGGAAGAGCAGGATTAAAGTTTGGAGAGAGAAGTATAGGGCCTATAAAATGCTGGTGAATCAGGAATTAAGTCTCCATTCTCGTCTCAATTCTTTTGACCTCCTAAACCTCCTTCCTTATGGCTAATGTTTGTGGAATGCTTACTGTGTGCCGGTACTATTCTAAGCACATTAAAATGTCTTTACTCATTTAATCTCCACAACAACCTTGTGAGGTAAATATTCTTCCCATATGAAGAAGCGGAGACACTGAGAAGTTACAGAACACACCTAAGATTACACAGTTTTCAGTCAACAGAGCCAAGGTTCAAACCCAGGCAAGAATCTAGAGCCGAGCTCTAGAATCAAGTTGTCAATTATGCAATGACAACATACCCATTTCTGTCTGAAACATACTGGAGAATACAGAGAAATAAAGGGCATTTTTTCCTGACCTTCTGAAGAATTACTTGGGTAGAGCAAACTTACATAAAATTGGTAACAGTACATAGTAGTTCAGTTCCAAATGAGCAGTAGAGGCTGCAGGAATATTTATTTGAAAGGTTAACAACAACCAGTAATCTTCAAGAGCATGTCATTAAATCAAACTCTGGGGGCTGAAGAGAAGATTTCCTCAAATTGTTACATTAACTTTTTATATGTAAATGGGACTTCAGGGGACAAAAGACCAAGGTCAGACAGGGTTCATCCAACTTCCTGTAGGTCCCAGGAAGGTAAAGATAATTTGTCAGTGTCAGGAAGAAGTAGTCTGTAAAAGAAGACTTCTTGGCTTGAGGAGGGGTTACTGATAGCAAAAGGACCATTGATAAAACTGCTATGTCCATGATGTAATGTTTGGTGTAAATAACAGCTATAGGTGAAAGGCGGGGGCTTCTTTGGGTATTCAGGAGCACTTCTGGGTGAATGTGCAGAACCTGATCAATGAATTAAAAATCTTTCAACTTTAAAATGTCTCGTTTGGGGCACAGTCTTTTCTCAGTCCAGTCAGGAAACCGAGGCAGCTTGCTAGACTCACAGAAGAGTTTAAGTGGAATAGGATCTAGAGCTAGAGAATGGGAGGACTTGAATAGTCAGCAGAGGCTTTATGGAGAAGTGGAGCTGACTATTAAAAATATCGATAGGATTCCAGAAAATCAGGAAATATTCATTTTATTACCCTTTAGGAAAAACACAGTTCCAAATGTTTATTTTAACTGGGTAGGACAGACCATGGAGAATTGAGAGTCTCATCGAATAGCCAAATGGTGGGATTTTTGTTTTTGTTTTTATTTTTTTTAACTCTGTAAATGTAAGGAGAAATTGTATTTTAATCAATAGTTTCTTTTTACTCTCAAAACTTCTTAAAAGAAATTGCTGGCGAACTGACAAAGGGATGAATTATTGTTTTTCAACATCACTGCCTCCCTCCCACCTTGCATACAGGATTCTCAAACAGGAAAGTGGCCAGAAAACAGAGTAGGAGCAAGGTGGTGTAGGAGGAGTTTGCAAGAAACCTCTTTCCTTCACTGAGTGCTTACATCAGCCTCTTAATAGTTGAAAGGTGGCTGCATAATGGTCACCAGTTGCTAGGATGGATCAGAGAGTAAACATTGTCAAGCATTCAGAGGGAGCAGCTACAGACAAGACAGCCGGAAGTGAGCAACTGGCTCAGAAAGTAAATTGGACATAGGAGAGAATAATCTCAGAAATTAACATAAGCCTACAGGCTAAGGAAGAAGTAGGCCTGAGTGGGCCTGGAAATGAACATAAACACTATCGGTATAAAGCCTAGAGTTGGGAGAGATGGGGAAGTGAGAAATTTGTCACAGTCTGCCCAGGAAAAAGAGAGCTCAGATCTGGGAAATCTACCCTTTCTCTGGGCAGAAGTCTTCCTCAATCTCCGTCAGGATCTAAAGGTGTTGAGGGGAAGAGAGGTTAACCTGTAGCACAGGATTCCCTGGGTTAGATTGTGGGTATGGGTTGGCTTCCTACCATGCTGTTCCTCCTTCCTCGTGCCCTGTCTCTCTCTCTCTTCCCCTCTTCCTTATTCTTTGGACTTTTCTTACTCTTGTCCTTTCTTTTCTTCCATGTTGGTGCTGCCAGTCCTGTCCTGAGATGAGCTCAGCTTACCTGTGAATACTGTTTACTCCACTTATATGATAGAGCCAAAAGGGTGTTGTTGTCTATGCCTAGAATATGAAACGCTTTCTGAAACTATCCAATTATATTGTCTGACAAGGAACTTTATGATTCTCCATTTGGCTTCCTGAGTACCTCACACCAGAGGGGAAACCTTTTAAAAAGAAAACCAGTCTGCAGTGACCAATCTTGCCCTCCCACCCAGACTGCATTTTCTCCTCCTGTCGGTGTTGCCACTCACATGTTGCTTTCTGTGTGTATAGCCTTGTGGATCCCCTGCATGGAATGGTCTCTCGCACCATTTTTCTGCCACTCAACGGTCACTACAACAGCTGGTTTCTTCAACAGCTCCTCCTCCTAACTTTGAGCTTGTCTCTTGCTGCCCACTCAGATATTGTGGGCACAAGTTTACATGCAAGTAAATGACTTTGCTGATGCTGTCTAACATTATTCTCCAATTACTTCACACATGTACTTTTTGCCTTCTTGTTAAGGTTATGTGCTCTTTGAAGGCAGAGTTGTCCTGTTCTGCTCTTGTTTCCCCTATGGTATCTAGCACAGTGCTAGACACACAGCAGACACTCAGCAAAAATATATTAAGTTTTCTATTTTCACATTAAGAAATTGGCTCTCATTGCCAGGGATGGTGGCTCACACCTCTAATCCCAGCAGTTTGGGAGACCAACATGGGAGGATCGCTTGAGCCCAGGAGTTCAACACCAGCCTGGGAAACATAGTGAGACCCTGTTTTAAAAAAAAACAAAACAAAAACATATTAGATAGGCTTGGTGGCAAGCACCTGTAGTCCCAGCTAGTAGGGAGATTGAGGCGGGAGGATTGCTTGAGCAAGGGAGGTCTAGGCTGCAGTGAGCCGTGATCATGCCACTGCACTCCATCCAGCCTGGGCAACAGAGTGAGACTCTATCTCCACTAAAAAACAAATAAAGAAAAGAAGAGAAAAGAGAAATTGACTCTATTGTTTACAAATCTGACTCCCACAATTCGGATCAATATAAGCTCACTTCCTTGGACCTCTCCTTCCCATGTCCAGCTGAGAAGGCAGGCATCCCAAGACTCCAAGAAGGGTTAGACGACTAGCTCTGCAGGGAACTACTGTGAAGTCTCACAAACTTGGAACATTTCTGCCTTTTTCACAATGCTATTACTTTAAAGTGGGACTGATCAATAGACTACAGGCTTTTTTAAATTCCTTTTACCCCCTTTGCTTTGTCCTCCCTCATCATCTTGCTGTTTTTTTTTTTTTTCCCTTCCCAGGCTGTGCAGAGACCATGGACTATCATCAGGACAGCCAAAGTGAAGGAAGAGAAAGTTCTATAATGAGGGTCAGAAGATTCTGATAATAATCTAGATTTTATGACATGGTCTAAAATACAGGCCAAACAGGTAACAGAAATGAGGGCCAGGTGTAGGTGTATATGCATGATTTGGGTGAGTGAATGGTAGAAACTGGTAAACTGCAGAGACCCTCTCGAACAGGGCAACTACTACTCAGTTCCTGTAAATTGTCCTAATTTTTGAAAAGAAGCCAGAAACACGGATGTGGGGGTAGAAGCTCTTAAAGTTATAAATGTTGGCTCAAAATCTTTAAATACAGTGCAGGCCAAACAAAATACGTATATGAGACCAATTTGGCTTGAGTGAACCAGTTTGTGACCTTCGTGCTAGCACATAAGTTGTGAGGCTAAAAAGATATGGGAGAGGAAATTGAACATTTAGGCAGGGGCCAAACAATAAAAGGCCTCATATGTCATGCCAAGGAATTTATATGTTATCTGTTGACCACAGGGAACCACTGAAGGGTTTTTTTTAATCAGGAGAGTGGCCTAGTTGATTAGTTTGGCCACAGTGTGGGAAATGGGCAGTGGTAATCATGCTCATAAATGTTTAACAACCAGCTCTCCACAGGGGAGGAAAAAAGATCCTGTTTTGTAGTGTTTGCCAGTTTTTCTGGTGTAAATATTCCCATTGTGGACAGTTTCAATCTACCAATACGACATCATAGAACACAGAGTTGGGAAGAGAACCAGTCAACCTGCTCTTGCCAGCTGGTGCAAGCCGGCTTCAAGCACACCAACATGTGTTTCAGAATAAGACTAGTCAAAAGATATCATTAGTTCAGGTGAAGAGATGGCAGGGATCTTAAGCTAGATAGTGATTCTAGAGATGGACAAAAAATAACAAATTTAAGGCATTCATTGAATGTGTCAGGGAAGGGAGGGAGAAGAAAGCAAGGATGTTGGGTCTCTAGATTCCAATGGGTGGTTGAACAGTAGTGTCAGCAATTGAGATAGTTCATGCAGGAGCAGGTTTAAGGTTTTTCAAAGTTCAGTTTTGTGCTTGTTGACTTTGAAGTCCCTACTGGAAAAGCAGCAGGAAATTGTATAACTAGTATAAATCTTGAAGGAGAAGTCAGGGCTGAAAATACAGACGTGAAAATCTTCAGCCAGTAATAGTAGTTGAAACCAAGAGTGGACAGGATCAGCCTCTGCCTGCCCTTGTTTCCTCAAAAGTGGCTCCACCCATCTACTCCAAGGACTCTGTCCAGCTCGTTTCCAGGGCAACTAAGGCTTGATATAAGAAGCACTCAGGAGGCCTGCCTCAGGTGCCATCATTCCAAATTTCTACTGTTAGGCTTTGGCATTGGGGCACTCTCCTTGTTCTGTTAGTTTCTGAATTGCAGCTTCTTCCCCACCTGTGCTCTAGCTTTTACAACAAGGCTTCACCCTTGTTTGAGTTTTGGCCTAATATCCCAGGCCTCCTTAATGAAATCTGGCTGTGAAGAAAAGATGAGGCTGCATCTTGAACACCTTGATTAGATCAGGGGGAGGACCCAGGGAAG